CCCCCCCCCCCCCCCCCCCCCCCACGAATTTGCGTGCTCCCACAGTTAAGCATTGCGATAGCACGTCCTCTATCAACCTGTGATAATCGTTGCTTAACTATAAAAGGACTTATTGTTTGCAACATTATTGGCGATGATGTGTTTCGATGTTAGTGAAATATTGATACTGGTTTGAATGAAAAAGAACACATATATGTATAAGTGTGCAGGCACGGGTATTTTGATAGTTTAGCCGTACCGGATATGCATAGGTTTCTCGTCACACAATGTTGATATTGAATATTGGTTCGGGTTATAGGCAGGGTGTACTTTTATTTCCCGATTTGTATGCCTCAATGTGTATTTAATATCAAATACATAACAATTTTAGAAGTTGCGTCTCTTTTTCGTTTCAGTATGCATTTGTGCACTTAAAAAACATTTTCCTTTATATTAAAAAAATGTTGAAATAAAACTTAGTATCGATGGACACAAAATGATGACCAATTACTATATAATATAAAAACGGTAAGAAAGATAGCTTACTTTGTATTTAAACAATTCATTTAGAGCACTTGGGTGAAAAAAATAGTACTTGAGAATGTTGTACTGTGTTACAAAATAGATTATGAAAAACAAACATATGCAGAACAATTTATTTATGTGATTTGCAATATACAAAGGAAACTGTGCTGGTGCTGAAAACATTATGCTAGTGAATTACATGTCCATAAATTCTTGGAACAGCATGTGTTCTTCTTGGAATCAATTAAGACCCGAAATTAGTTAAGCATTAATCCAACCACAACACAGATATAAAAGAAACGTTTATGGATTTTCGACTCAACACGTCGGCTGAAAAATTATGAAGAGATTTTGGTTTTAACGGTTTCACTAAACAAAACCTTGAAAAGGGAAATTTTGTACCGAATCTACCATTGTTCTACATGGTTTTCAAGCATTATCGATATCTAGCACAACCTAAAATAGGCAACTCTGTAGTTTTTAGGCTTCGTCCTGTCCTTGTCCATTTTCAGTTTGAATATGCCTCCACCTATCCAACTTTCGCTATCGTAGTACATCCAGCAGTTGTCCCTCCAAATCGCACATCTTTCATGTAAGTATGGAACTCCTTTTGTCCCATGTTTCTCGATGGCGTAACTAAAGGCATGTAGTACGTACCTGTTTCGAAAATATATGGAATAATAATCAGTTATTTATTCACGCTCCACTTGAGTGTATGCCGCATATATCAGTGCACATTGAAACAATTTTACTTTAAATGTGTTAAGAGATCAGAAAGTACATGTATGCTGGTAGGGATTCTATTATTGAAGTAAGCCTATACATATAACAGAAAAAACATGCATTAAACATGAGTTTTACAATTTAATATACAATGTAAATCGTCGAACATATTTCTGCTTTACATCATACATTTAACACAAAGAACACTTTTTGCTTGTCAAATTGCAGACCTAAGCAAATCAATGAGTTCCATGCAGAGTTGAATTTCGCTGAAATGGTACAAAAAATAGTTGCCTTACCCGTAAAAACTCAATTCAAAGAACTCAAAGAATATCTTGCTTTGTGATGACCTAAACAAATCCAATTGGCCACCAAAAAATACCTTTTTCTCCCTATCATCACTTCAAGGGAGGCATCGCATTCGGTCATTTGAAAGTCCTCCCCATCAATCGGAATAGGTAGCAGTAGTGGTGAGACGTTATCACCTTTTAGTCTTCTATCCACGTGTCTTTGACCGATTTTGCTGAAATTACGTTAAAGTGAAAAAATACTCGTGGGCTCAAACTCAAAGCACCAATACTCATACGAAACGAATGGAAATAACAGCAACTACGGGAAAGAAATGTGTCTCCATGAACAAAACATATGTCAATTTTTATTGAGTTTGCTTTCTTTTTAAAACACAGATAAACTACAAAAAGTGCTTTGTAATTTTAACATGGGTCAATATTTTAATACGAAAAATGGTGCGCAAATCCAGAATCAATATTCTGAATATATTTGATTGTTTATCGTCATTAGTATCATAGATATTTACTTGCTCATCATAACTATGTTATCTTTAGCTAATGTCCTTGCTCGAGAAATGATTTACTGCACATGTATATATTATAATACTCTTTACTGTGAACTTCCACGATAGGAAGGGATACATTTTTATAGTGTACAAAAATCTTTCATATACATGTCAGGGGCGAAGTTAGCCCTTGTTCGGGGTGGATTAATTAAGGAGCATGTCCAAGGCAGGGCTTTGGTGAGGGTTTCGTTGGGGTGGGGTGGGAGAATGGATACAGCAACTAGTAATTTGTTTTAATTTGGTGGATTCACCTGCGTGCATGTATAACAACACAAGAGGACAATAGACACGTGAGCTCGCGCTTATTGACGATATTGACACATTCACATTTTCACTCCACAGTGTAAGAAATTGTCTTGTGTGAAGTGTTATACACCATTTATTTGGATGACATTGAAATATAAGCTATTGACAAGGAGTTGAGTCAGCCTAGCCTCGACAGCGTTATAACAATAGTAAAACAAACTGGTTTTAGTTATAACTTGCTTTTGAATTATACTTTTGTTGTCACTTAGGTATTCTCTTGTTATATTTATTATACATCTTTCATCACAAAGGGTATGACTGCTAGCCAGTGGCTTTCCTAGATTAGAAATCACGATTAAACAGCATTGAACAATCACCACATGCATCAATTATGTTGTTCACTTTGTACAACATGCTTGATCTATGTTTTCATGATATAATATAATTTGAAACCATCCATGTCTTCCCTACAAACTTGACTGTTTTACTCTTGAAAGCTTAGTGCAGATTGGGGCTCGCCTCACTTCTTATCTAGAGCTGTCACTCAAATAATGTTTTGGTCGCTGGTCCATTAGACAAGACCAAACTTTCTGACCAGACCAATGTTTTAAAGTATGCCCGTCTAGGTAAAAGACGTGTGCATGCATAATTCCAATTTATATTCTTAAATTGTTTCGATCGAGTACTCAATCTTTAAGTATTCGTGATTAATTTGAGGCTTGCTTCGTACATATATGCCCAAATTATTAATCAAATTAATGTTTGTATAGGCTAACTCATCTAAAAGTTCTGTAATATTTCTTTTCAAATTTATAGACTGGGCATCATATCTAGTTAACACTTATTGAGTCCCGCCGATGCAGTTCGGTCGGCTTTCTTTTAATGTCTTCAAAAAGCAGCTCTACTTAAACAGTCAGCAATGCCAACTTAACTTCTCTATATATTCCGTATCTCTGGTTTTTACAGATCATTACTATATTACAGAGAAGGAGTCGTCTATCGTATACGAACTTATTCATAATTCCAATTTTGTAAGATGACTCCTAGGCCTAATGTTTGCCTTATCCTAACTGTGTTTGACCTGAAGACACTCGTCGCATAGCAACTCCACGCTCCAATGCAACCTGAATAGGAATACGATGCCACCGCCAATCACACCAGCTCCAGACTAACCTACACAATTTTGAAGTCCGTCTAAAAGTCTATTAGAGAGGGTCAAATGCTAACGGCCAAAATAAACCTAACCTTATACCCTCTGGGTCGGAGTCATTACGTCTACTCTTCTTTGAAAAAACTCAGAGGGGTCGTCATCGTGCAAGGTTTTAATGTCCCATCCGATCGCGACGGATTATTTTTTGAACAGCATTCTGGTGGTAGTTATAGGCTCGCTAGCGCATGCGTACTCGAGCCCCATAAAATAAACGTCAATACAAATGTACCTACCATACAGAACAAGGTACGTTTTCGGAGCTCCAGTGCAAAAAGTCTTCTCGCAGACTGGTAAGTGATCTACAATTTCAATGTTAATATTAGTTAATGCTGCCGTACCGTTGATTTTAGAGTAATATGTGAAGAAAATAACCTGCGGTTTTAACATGAAGTGAAATGGTTTATTTTGAACAATAAAACAATGCAAACATATCAACAACAACAAATATCTGTCAAGTTTCATGTATTGCGTAGTTGTATAAGCAAAGCATATATTTATGTAAATAGAGCACCAAGTGATAGCACGCTTTGTCGACAAATAATTGTCGAATTTTAGAACGGATCAACCCTTTCCTTTCTCGTGACGAGACGAAAACATTAGACACAAACAGTATGACTGTCGTAGAATGGGCGACGGATACTTTCTAAAAAACAATAGATCTTCAGTAAGAGACAATCATTAGTATCATAAGTATTTGGCTAATGAACATTGTTGAATTTGGACCAGATTTCAATGCAGAATCGATAATCCTGATTAAGCTAGTGAAAATGTGTTTATATTTCCTGCAATTCTACTAGATGCGAATAATTATTTTACGGAATTGAAAATAAACACCCATTCTCTAGCTCTCTGACTGCTATATAGCGCCTCAATAATCTACTAAATTTCCATCTGTGATTGAAATATTCACATTTTTCATTTCAGCAATCAGTGTTCCTCGGATTTCGTTTTCACCTCTGTGGTTTAATGATAATGTGACCACGATTTATATCGCGGATGCCGTCCATGAAGCAGAAAATGCCTACCATTTTAGAACACTTTATCTTATTTTCAACGATCTCTGGGTTTTTTTCCCATCTTTCATATCCTGCCAATACTACATAAGTTTGAACTACGGTTTTTTTACAATATGTTTTGTCTCGATACGACACAAACTTCCGACACAAAAGTACACAAAGTGACATATTTGCAAACTAGCTATATGTCAAACTGACATTAATGCCACAACTGTCTTCACTGTATTGATTCAAATACAATATCATTAATACTTCTGTATTTTGAAAACTTTTTTTTCAAGTGTTTATTTTAAGATAATTTCATTAAAGCAATGTGTAATGTTAAATTGAAAACATCTATTTGTACTCCTATCCCTATTTAAGTAAAAACAACTACACGAGTAACCATCGTTTAGAAAAAACAATCGAAACATTTATATCAATTTTACCAATGAAATATCAGAAATTATCAATGTGATAAAACTTCTACCGCCACAACAGTGAAGATATACGAAATGTTATATCTTAACATGTGATGACATAAGGCCCAGTATCGATTTTATATTGGCCAATAGAAATAATATTTTCTATTTACTGCAGCAGATTTTTAAAAACAGCATATTGATGTGAGGTGTGTTAGTTTGCTAGCAAAGAAATCTTTGTGAATAGGATAACTATCAGTTATCAATGTTCCCTTGGTAAGATTTCTAATCGTTTAATTTTTGATGTTTCCTTGTGTGAAAAAATAAAAGAAAGATATCAATGTATAGTAATGTATAAAAATAGCCCTGCTTTAACAGCATGTTATTAGCATATACCATATTGTGATCGTGTCATTTGTGCAGTCTTGTTTTAGCTGGAACAAGATTTGAATTCGAGATTTAACAAATTACAAAACTAAAAATACTGAAAAATAAATTCCGCAAACTCATGAATCAGTCAGAGGAAGCCTTTCATGTCTTCGTTAATTATTTTTCCAACTTTTTACCCTCGTTTTATATTCCGGCATAATACTCGTATGCATCTTTTTATGTTAATTATTTCTTACATAGCGTAGTGTGAGATGAATTCAATAATTGTTTCCAATTGAATATTATATTATTTCAAATCTGCTTCAAAATCTTCCGAAATGCCCTGTACCAATTTCTTACTTTGAATATCCTTCAATGCTTTCAATTAAATATTTGGTATGCGTTGTGTCTTCAGTGTTGCAATCCTCAAATGAACATTTGGAGATTCGCTCGGTGATTTCTATTCCAATGATCCCTTTAAGCCAGTCTTTTTCAATTTTCTCCCTGAAATCCAACTCCTCTCTGTTGCGAAACGAATTACCATTCATCAACCATATGAATGCTTTTGCCACGCCCAATTTTCCCTCATTGCACATTCGTATTGTTTGATACATTCTCTGTAAAATAAATACAAAAGTTATCAGATCATGGGCATACATCTTTCTTGAAAGCATTTTAATGTTTTAAGCACTGATATCATAAATAAAAGAAAGGGGGAAACACTTCAAAAAATTGATTTAATATGAACATCTGACGTAAACTTTTAAAGGTGATCTAGTAGCATTTGTACCTCTGATTTGTTTCCAATGAAACGTGCTTCTGGTATTGGATACTGCCTTGACCATAGGTACAAGATGACCAGGACACAGTCTACTTGACAGGTAAAATTCAGTTTGATTGGCCATGGTTTAGATATCCCTCCTCCTTGACAAGGTAGCTTCTTCTGAACTGTTATGAGGCAGAGCCGAAAACATATAAAGGAGTTGTAACTTTAACGTTGTGGAGTTGATCGACACACAACACACACGTGGTCTTCAGATCATCCCATGCTTTGCTTTCTATTACATGTATTATTAGTTACATGGTTTGTTACTGACTCTCTATAGAAGTAGGTCAGTAACAAACCGTTTAACGCATTAAACGCACAGAGGACCCTTTTTATTGATTGGAATACCAACCTTCATGTTCATGAATTATATTACAGTCTTTATTATGAGTTTTTTCCAGATGCAGATTCAGTGCACGTCATAGACACATCCAGCGTAGTCTCTGTATACAAAGTTCCATCAGTTGTCTTTGCTTCCCAATAAAAATGTGACAAGGCCTTGTGTAACCTGATTTTTGAACTCTGTATCCCATCTCTTTTTAATTAGATATTGTCTAGTTATTACTCTTTAAAGCCTTTAATGCATTGATTTTCTTTTTTCCCCTCAATGTCTAATCGGGTCGTCTGCCCAAAACGATCCTTTTTCGGGTCACCAAGTGACATATTTTTAATAACGTGCGCACAACAAAGGTATCGTGGTTGATATATATATATTCTTGAATGGCCTGTGTATCAATACAAATTCTTCTTAAACTTATATCTTTCCTTATTTAAATATGTTGTCATATTTCAGCCATATTTACATGTTATCTCTATCTAACAGTATTAGAGACATCGCGTACAAAAAATGTTTTGAAACGACCTTCATCGACACGTGTGTAGATATACGGTCATGTACACGCAGAGAAAATGCAAACAAAGCAGCCTTACCTGTTACCAGTTACCTGATTTTACCAGGTAACGGAAACATTTTACGTATCAGTAGTCATTAGTGAGGTGTGAAATTTCCAGACAAAGCGTAACAGACATAACTAACACAGGTAAGTCCAGTTGTGTTTCTATCCCTTTTCCAATCATCGATGAAGTCTTATCGGCGATCAACTCTGTGCAATTCACAACGTACATGTACTCATACTGTACCTGACAGTACAACCTCATTATTGTCAGTGTTACAGTCATTGTCAACATGTAGCATGCATTATTAAGAAGAAAACAAAATCAAAATATACCAACCGGATATTAAATACGTATACGATGTATCTTATTTCACTCGAGCCTTTCACTTATGTTTTCATTAAGTAACATTGATTAACCGATCTAACCATATCGCACTTAAGTGCGCGTTTTATAGCACAACGGGGCTATCATTAAATTGCACAGTTGTGCACATAATGTGCGGACGATGTATGGACTACGTGTGCACGATGCGTGCATTTTGTACGAACAGCAGCTTTTGTGCATTGAGCGATCACCCAACCGTATGTTTTGTTATGTCATTTTTGTCATGTCTGTATTTAGTAATAAAAGAAAGAAATTAACATGTGGTCTTCGGTTAAACTCTAGCTCTTAAATAATTAACACGTTAATCCTATCATAAAACATTCTGGGTTTCCATCCTGACAAAATGTCTTGACATAAGATTATCAAACTTGTTACATAATACCTACGAATAAATTAAGTACCTTTTTCGGTAACAATAAACAAACGATTACATAAATATGGTTTCAGATTCTGTGTAGTTTGCCATTGTGTATTATTAAAATGTTAAGTCCTGAACTTTAGCTTGTTATATCAGGACAGAAATTAAAGATAGTACTCACACTCTGCATCATATTCATAATCTGCATATGGTGTTTCTAAAAGATCTACATGTTGACTCTGCTCCAGGTCAGCGTGCGGGAGTGGTTTCTCCGTAAGTGCGGTTGGTGTTGGGCAGTCTAAACATTAATAGTTGTAAATCATAAAAATGTTATGATGCCATATGATCACAATTTTTGTGTTACATGTATAGAATATGATTGTTTGAATTTACCATGTGTATACAGATTATCGTTCTTTATTATTATTATTATTTTCAAAAATACATCATTTTAAGGGAATACTATTACCTATAAAATACGATGTGTCTAATTGATACTGTTCGGATATACAACAATCAACTGTGAATAATAACAATAAGAATTGACCATCAAGAGTTCATTTTAGAAGATGATCAAGTGTCTTTAAGATTCTTGCAATTCAATTTGACGTGCAAATAAAGCAAGTGCTTCCTTTTCAAATGCAATGTATTAATAAAGAGATTCCTTTTGATAATTATCTTTTTACCTTAACTAATAATACCCCTTTTCGCATTTGTGAACAAGAGGCCCAGAGGGCCTGTATCGCTCACCTGAAT